TTTATTTGTGGTAGTTACACTCTGGTTTTGTTCAGTCCCCTCTGAGTGAGTGGCAGGGAAATACTTCATCTGGGCTTGGGAAGAGGAATGCAGCTCTCAGGAAGAGTCAGTGTCACCCACATGGTGTCACAAAGGTGAAAATCATCCTGTGCCCCACTCTGAGGGGAGGAGAGAGATTGAGCTCTAAGGAATGTTGTCTTTTTTAGTGTCACACACAGCAAACCTTTTACCTTTCCAGGAAACTTCGCTGGAAAAACTTCCTTGGAGCTACCAGGAAAACACCTACACTGGTCATCTCAGTGAGGACTTGATGAAGACAATAGTGAATTCCTGTAGGAGAAAGCCATTTGTATTAATTTGTGGCTCTTCTGCATTCAATGAAGATATGAGTAGATACTTGAAAGCTGCAGGAATTGAAGAAGATTCCTGTTTTGTCTTTTAGCAGTACATTCCTGACCTGAGGAACCTTGGGCTGAGCCTTGGATGTCCTTGTTTCTTTGCAGACATTGCACAGATGGGCCTGCTCAGAAGACTGAGCTCCTTGGAGCAGCTGTTTGTTGATCCTCACTCTGGGGTGTTTTAAGGAATGGGTGCCATTCCAGAGTGACTGGTACATGTGTGCCGCCCACACCTCAGGGACCTGCATGGCAATTTTAATGGAAGTCTTCAAGTGCAATTCTAAGAGAGAGATCTCCTAAGGGGTACCAGAAAGCATCCACACACACAGCTCTGCGGTAATATGAGGATTGGTGACTTGCTTTGCAATCTGTGTTACTCTGCAGTGGGTTGTGCCCTGTTAGGTGTCCAGAGGAGAGATACAATCCTCAGGGATCCTTGCCAGGCCAAGGGGACAGCAGAGTCAGGATCACTTTGGTTCTGTCGTGTGCAGACTGATGTCAGGCAAGTCCCTTCAGCCTCACTGTGCCTCAGTTGGCCCACTGTACATTGAAACAGAGAAGGTGGCGCTGATCTCTGAAAACAGCCATCCCAACCATGCATGGAAAGTGTATCTATAAGGATGGAGTGATACACTCTGTCTAGTGAGAGCCTAGGCAGGCTGAGCTCCTGTCCTGGCACAGCCTGTGTTATCCACCCTGTGCTTAGCCCTAGAAATGCTACCTGGGGACACAAAGAGCATGTCCTAAATCTGGGAGAGCATGGCTGGGTGGTGGCTGCTGTCTGTCAGGGAGGATGGTTGTTTGCTTTCCGTGTCCCCTAAGTGTTGTATCATAACCCTGGCTCATTAAATTGAACCTCTTTACAAATAAGCAGCTGTTTGATGTTGTCACAGGGCTCTCTCAGGTGCCTGAGGAGGTTCCCTAAGCACACAGGAACACCACCTGAGGAGAGAAAGCTGCATAGGGTCTGCTGGGTGCTTCCCTGTGGGACAGGGAGCTCCCTCAGGGATGACAGCCTGGCACAGCACCCAGCCTGGGCACCTGGGCCTCTTCCTCTTTTTTTCAGTCCAAAATGCTGCTGCTTTTCCTCTGAGGTATGTGATATCCATTCTTTTATCTTTTCAAACTGGTGTGTTTAGTATCCACACCTGGAAATACAGCAATCCTGCACACCTTGTGTTTTTCTGTTCATTCCCAGTTCACCCTGTGTTGGGGTTTCCCAGGCTGTCTCAGATGGTTATTGCATTATCATTCATGCTTCTTTTGTACCTGTGTCTAACACTACACCTTGCACAAAGGAAATGTAGTTTGTTACACAAAAAACACAGCGTGCACTGAAGTGGTGGCTTGATTCACACATTTGGGAGGGAGTGTAAGTTCCCTTTGCACTGCTGAGGTTTGTCTCCAGTTACCAAATGCCTGGAATTAATCAAGTGTAGCTGCAGCTTTCATGTTAACTTCCTTAGAGAAAGGGAGTGACAAGAAAGCCATTTTCCTAACCCAAACTGGGGTTCTGGCTTTAAAAGCATGGAGATCCAGGGAAGTTGTCCATGGTTAGTCCAAGGCAAGCTCTCATCTCCAATCCATGCTGTGCTTCAGTCACTGTGTAGTGAAGATGCTTTGTACACAGGCTGATAAAAATAATGAGATGCTTTCTCCAGTTGCTCTCCCTGCTCTGGCCTTAGCTAGGAATATGGACAAAACCTTCTTTGTCAGATATTAAGTATTTGAAAACCTAGCTTCTAGTCCTCTACCTTTAAATATTATGTCTTTTTGAGATTCTGCTAAAACCACACCCCACCTTTTTGCAAAAGGCCCAAGGTAAAAAACTTCACGCTCGCCTTGGAAAAGCGCCGGCTTTCAGCGTGAAAGCTGGGACTGTTCCTTTAAACACAACCCCAATATGTCTGGGTATTTCAGCACATATGGGCCACGATGCTTAAACCCTACCCAGCTGGTCCGGCCGTTCTGCCGCGCAGCTCCGTCTTTGTTCGTGGCTCAAAGGGAGGGTGGTGAGAGACGGAGCAAGCTGTGAGTGCTGCGGGTTGCCATCCTGCAAGGGCGGGCTGCGGCCGAGCGGGAGGAGCGGGGCATGTCCCGCCCGAGGGGACAGGGGCTTTGCGAGACATTCTCCGTGGGGGAGATGATGTCCTTGGAAGCAGGAACTCGAAGGAGCCTTTAAACCGCCCGCAGGCACTTTGTTCTCTATTTTCTGCCCTTCTCTCCCTTCCCCCTCCCGCCTTTTGTTGTTTCTCAGGCTGGCTCTAACACGAGTCCCCTCATCCCAACCATCCCCCATGGGGACAGCCCCTTTCAGAGCATGGCGTGGATTCCTGCAAACGCAGGGATGTGGAGTGGAAAGGCTCTGGTGCAGAATATTCCTTGCCAGGGGAAGATGAGAGGTTTCCTTCCCTCTGGAGGCCCAGATCCACCCCGTGGTGGCAGTTTGGTGGGGAATTGGTGTCGGTGCTGTTGGTGACTGGGGCATCTCTGGATGAGCTCGGGGGGGGGTGGGTGATGCCCAGCCAGGGCAGGGGCTCACATCCTGCCTCTCCTGCCAGGCAGGGGGTGCTGGTGGGATGCTCCTGATCTCTGGCTGCCCCCAGGAAGCCCCTGCCACCCGTGCAGCACTGTGCAGGCAGAGGGGCTTTGCTTCGCTTCCTTTTTTCTTCCTCATGTGCAGCCTAAATACCTTCTTAATTTCATCTCATTATTTCCTGCCTAAATAATTCTCGTTTCTCCTGGGGACCGTTTTTAAACCTTTGATCTTCTCTGAAGTCTCACGGTCCTGATCACGTCCTTTCTGTTTAAATGAATCAAATGCCTTTTTGACTCATGATTTATAAATTTGCCCACAGAGGAACAGAGGCACACCTTGAAATCACCCACCGTGCCTGTGGGTACCCTGGGCTGATCCAGAGCACCTTCCATCCAGACCGTGCCTGGCTCCTCTGCTTCCCTGCTGCATGCCACTCTCCCCCTGCCTCCCTCCACCCTCCCAGCCGGCTCCTCAGCTGACAGCCGGGTTGCTGGGCTCGGGCCCAGCCTGGAATGGCCATCCCCGGGTCAGGAGAAGGGTGAATGTGCCGGTGGTTGATGGATGCTGTCCCCTGGGAGCGGGGCACAGCTGCTGTGCTGCAGGGCCCGGCCCCCATCTCCCGGGGATTGCTGATGCAGAGCACAGCTCAGGGCAGGGAGGGGAGCAGCTGTGCAGGGGTCCTGGGCACTGGCTCGGTGCTGAGGCTGTGGTGGAAAGGGTGGAAGACAGTGGGTGTTGGCCAAGATGGATGTGATGAGGATAAACATGTTGCTCCATAGTGCAGCGATGCAGAAGTTGGGGAGCACTTTGTTCCTGAGCCCAGGGGATGGTGGCTGGGAGGGTTGAGCATTCCTCCTGGATGAACCAGCGCTGTGGCAATGGAAAATAGCCAGGAGAGGCCCCTGTGCCATGGTCAGACCTCTGCATCTTTGCTGTGTGGGCCCACACTTGTTGACAAGGACAGGTCTCTCCAAGCCATTAGGGAAGCAGCTAATTAAGCTCTGCAGTGTTCCTGGGAGGTCAGCAGGAGATGTGCCAGCACTGCAGCATCTCCCAGAGCCTGCACTGGGGCAGGATCTTCCCACAGTGCCCAGGGACAGGGGGAGCTGCCCTGCTCCTCCTCATTCCATTGTGCTCTTAGTCCTGGCGCTGGTGGGGTGACAGTGCTCGATGCCCAGGACAGAACCCAACATTCCCTGCCTCAGCTGGGCTCAGGATAGAGGGCTCCTGGCTGGGATATCCCACAGCTCCCAGCAGCCCTCGGCATGGCTCCAGCAAGGCTGGGCAGAGGGGAGAGAGCCTGTACAAGTATTATTGTTGTTGTTATTCCCCATAAATATATGCAGGCACTTAACGACCTTGGCATGGAGCATTTCCTGGGGATTCATGACCAGTGGGTATTAATGGTCTTTAGCTGCACCTCAGGCCATCAGCTCCTCCCAGCCCATCATTAATCCACAGGAAATGTCTCGGGCATCGATCCTCATTGCTTAATTAATAAATGCAACTTGTCTCCTGCCTGAGATTTAGAGATACTCACTGCTTCTCTCCCTGCTGCTTTGAAGGTGACTTTTTCAGCACAGGTCCCTCACGCTGGGAGGCCCTCGTGGGATTTTGTTTCCTGGCATTCATGTGGGTGTGGGCTGTGGCAGCAGGAAAGTCTTTTCTCTCCTGGGCGGGAGGGAAGGAACTGAGCCTCTGTTGGGTTTGGGGTTTCTCCAGCTAACGTGGCACAGCACAAGGAGCACATCTTTCCCACCAAACCCAAAGGCTTGCTTACCTTCAGCTGAGTGCATCCAAGAGCCCGGGCGAGAAGTGAGCCAGCATGGAAGAACGTGGCAATTCTCCAAGGCCTTAGCAGGTTCTATAATAATCGATGTTTTTTGCCCATGAGTCACAATTCATCTCTAATCTTCCTCGGGGGAGGTGGGATTTGCTATCTTTAGTGCTCACGACTGCTGCTTTCCCGGGCTGAGCATCCCGCTGAGCCTGGACTCCTGCTGCAGGGATGCTGACCTGGCAGCCAGCTGCCTTTCCATCCTGCTCCCTGTTTGTGGAGCCCTCAGCACCAGCTGGCTTTGTGCAGTGGGTGCCGCAGTATAAATCATGTTAATTCCTGAGATGCTTTTCCGCGGTAAGTCTGAAATTCCCATTTTGGTTCGCTGGCTTGCCTGGCCAACTAAATTATTTTCATAGCCCCTTAAGGGCATATTGTCAGCCCAGACTTATTGCCGTTATACACCATTTCTGAAACATTAATATCTCTTCTAAATATAGTGTATTGACAAGGTATCTGGTATAGTGTAAATCCTTGGGACATTTGATCCAGATCATTAAAACTGAGTGAAGGAAGGGAGGAATAGATCAAGTTACCTTGCTGCTCTTAATTCAAACAAGCGATGAATTATTCATTCTGCTATTAATTCTACAGTCCTCCTGCTTTTTATTTATTTCTCTCTTTATTTGTTTTTTTTCCTCCCAGATAGACAGCTCCAGAAGGATGCTCGGGCACTGGTGAGGGGAGATTTGCCTGCTGGAGGATGGGGTGCACAGGGCTGGGCTGTCTGGCAGCGCTGGCCGTGCTCTGCAGGGCTCTCGGGGATGCTCCCAGCAGAGGTAAGAGCCTGGTCCCAGCTCCTGGTGGGCTGGATGGGCACCCATGGTTCCTGAGGAGGGGAGGGCCATTTGCAGTGCCACAGAGGCTCTGGGGTGTGAGTGGGATCCAGCTGTCCTGCAGGGAGAGGGGCTGGCTCAGGCCAGGGACAAGGAGCTGGGGTCTGGAGTCACTGTTGTGGTGGCAGCAAGTGTGGGACATTGCTCTGTGCTTGGGCTTCTGCTTCATGCTTACCTTACTGAGGAGTGCAGGTAGGGGCTGTCCTGTTGTGGTGTACAGGTGCTTTGGTGAAAGGTCTGTTAGCTTCTGGAGTTGCACTTGCCTATATAAATCTATATACACACATACATTTATATGTGAATGTATGCATGTATGTGTATGTGGCAGGCATGCAAATAATCTCTCACCCAGATAAAAGGTCCCCCAGGATGTAGGGCAGTGTTAGCAGATGACACAGTAATTCAGGGAATAGGGTGGTCCAAGCACTCCCCCATCCCAAAATGGCAGGGCCTGTCTCACAGAAGAGCTGAGCCAGAAATCAAAACCCTTCCCTGGCGCTGGTACAAGTGCTCCTGAGGCCACACCACTGCCCTGTGGTGCCTGCTCATCCCCCACATTCACCCACCTAAGCCTCCCAGAGCACCCCAAGGCTCCCAGCCCTTAATCCATCCATCTGTCTTCACTGTGGCTACCCACATCTCCCACAGGCTCCCCCCTTGGGTATTTATTTCAACAGTGTTATTCTTTCAGTACCAGCCCCATATTACTTCACTGCCTATCCCCAGTAATTAGCAAGGTGGTTTTAGATCTGGCCAGAACCATATTCATGGTGCTGCATCCCACACATCCCAGGACCCCCTTGCTGGGAGGTCACTGTGCCAGTGAGCAGGATGAAAAGCAATGTGCACAGGCTGACTATTGATTTGCAATATACTTGGCCCAGATTGATGGCAGCGAGCGCCCAGCCTTGTTTGGGAACCCACACATGTCTCCTGGGGGCTGTGCAGGGTCTGCATCCCTCCCAGACATGATGTATGTTCCCCCTGTATCAGCCTCTTCACCCCAGCCCTAATCAGACCCAGAGGCAGGTGACAGCCGGCCCCTCTCAGCCTTATTTTATAATAACCATGTCTCAGTATAAAGATTTCATTAGGAAATCGATCCCTACATGCATAACTCATTGTTCAGCACATCGAGCCCTTCACCCCTGCTTCTCCCAGCTCGAGTTCTCTGATACCACCCTTATATGGAGGGAGTGGGGTCAGTGGGAGGCACTAAGCTGAAGGGCTGGGCAGCTGGGGCATCAGCGAGCCTGGTACCACTGAGCCTTTAAAACTCACTCCCAACTTCTTTTTTCCTGGCCACAAACAGGTGGGGATGCTGTGCTGGCACTGGCAGGACAAGCTCAGGGGCACAGCTGAGCCCTGCTACAGCCGCCACAGTGCAGCATGGGGAAAAGGGAGGAATGGAAGGTGATGGGGGCACACGTGTCCTCCAGGGAGAGTGGGTGGACAAGCCCAGTAGAGTTCTGCAGGATGCTGGTGGTCTGGTACTGTGGTGGTGGGATGGAGCTGGTGGTTGTGCATCCTGTCTCCATTCTTTCAGGCTTCCCCTGGAAAGGGGACATCACACTCCCTTCTGTGTCCCCCAGGCATCAAATGTGGGGGAGTACTTTCAGCACCCTCTGGCAATTTCTCCAGCCCCAACTTCCCAGGGCTGTATCCCTACGAGACCGAGTGCACGTGGCTCATCGTGGTGGCCGAGGGCTCCTCCGTCCTGCTCTCCTTCAGCCACTTCGAGCTGGAGTACCACGACACCTGCGCCTACGACTACCTCCAGGTCTACAACGGGGCTGCCCGGGACCGGGGCAACCTCCTGGGCACCTTCTGTGGCCACAGCCCCCCGCCACCCTTCTCCTCCGCCTGGCACGTCATGGCCGTGGTCTTCCGCTCCGACCGGCACGTGGCCAAGCACGGCTTCGCCGCCGCCTACAGGAAAGGTAGCAGGGAGGACGTGTGAGGGGCTCTGAGCACCCATCCATCCATCTCTGCTCTGTGTGGTGGTCACTGAGCACCCATCCATCCATCTCTCATCACCCTTGCCTCCCTGCAGACGCCTGCGGTGGGCAGCTGACGGGGCTCTCTGGGGAGATCACCAGCCCGCGCTACCCCGAGAGTTACCCCAACGATGCCGAGTGCCGCTGGAGCATCGGGGGCGCCAGCGGGGGTGGCCCCCTCACCCTGGTGTTCGCTGACTTCCAGATGGAGGGGGGCCAAGGCTGTGGCTTTGACTACGTGGCGCTTTTTGATGGCCCCACGGTCACTGCCCCCAGCCTGGGGCGTTACTGCGGCAGCGCCCGCCCGCCCCGCACCGTCTCCTCCACCCCACACCTCCTCATCATCTTCAAGTCAGACTTCAACATTGGTGGCAGGGGCTTCAAGGCCCATTTCTACTCAGGTTTGGGGGTCTCAGGGTGGTGGGGCAATGGAAAGGATGTGGGGACAGCCACTGGGTTGGGGTGGTGATTCTCCCCCTCCCACAGCAGCAAGAGATGATCATGGGGGGGATCCCTCTGGGGAGAGCCCATGAGATAATGGTGTGAAGTGTAAACCACCACACAATGCAAATGGCATCACTGTGGCTATTCCAAGTCCTGGGTTGCCCTCTTGAGCAGGAGTCACTCATGCTCATCCCATTCCCCGGGGATATGGGTTGCTCCTGTAGGACTTTGCCCTGGGAGTTTCCATCCCCCAAAACTGCTGGCTGCTCATTGGCCAAACACAAAGCTGGGAGCAGTGAGGTGAAGGGCAGAGCATCCCTTAGCAATAAAACAAGAAGGCTTCAGGTTTGCTTTTGATTTTTCCTTTCCCCTTTTTCCCTGAGCAGGTGAGTGCCAGGAGGTGTTCACCACCATCAAAGGGAATTTCTCCAGCCCTCAATACCCCAGCTTCTACCCCAACAACCTCAAGTGCCAGTGGAGCATCCAGCTTCCCCCGGGCTACCGGGTCAAGGTCTTCTTCCTGGACATGGAGCTGGAGGGCCGGAGCAGCCTTACGGGGGCCTGTGACTATGATCACTTGTCTGCCTTTGATGGTGGCACTGAGAGTGGGTCCCTGCTGGGCCGCTGGTGTGGGCGGGAGAGCCTGGCACCCGTCACCTCCCGCAGCAACCGGCTGCTCCTGCTCCTCCACACCGACCGCAACACGGCCAAGAGGGGCTTCTCCATCTCCTACGTGGGAGGTAGGGTCCCACTTGGGTGCTGCTCAGTGCTCTGGTTCCATTGGGATGTGCCTGAGACCACGTAATTTCCAGAAGGATCATCAGTGAAGGTTCCTGTCTGCAGGAGCAGAGCCCGTGGCTCTTTAGGGGTGGGGCAGAGGGAGACGTGGCAAGCGAGCTGCACGTTGTGTTTAGTATTCAGGAGGTGCTTTCCAGCTTCAAATTCCTGTGTGCCTGCCACTGCCATGCTCCTGTTCCTCTGTCAGGGTGTGAGGGAGAGAAAACCTGTGGGGGTTTTTCATGGGCCAAAACCCCAGAGCAGGTGACGAGTTCAAGCTTCACTGCTTTGTTCCCCTCTCCCCTGGATGTTCCAGCCTTGCCAGCACATGGCTGAGCAGGCAGGCATGAACCATGTCTCCTCCTGCAGGGAAGGCAGGACTCCCAGGGCACAGCATTCCCAAATGCACCTGGCCAGCCCTGCCTGGCACACCCCTGCTGCTGGCCTGCAGTGTCCCAGCCAGCGTGTCTGGCATGTCTGCAGCTGGTGGGAGGAGCAGTGGGTGACCTTCCTGCTCTATTTGCCAGCCTTTGCACCTCAAACACCAGCAAATTTATGGTGTTTGTTGTATTTCAGTATAATTACATCCAAGCTGACCCATGGGTCAGGCATGATTCAGCCAGGGGCAGCCTTTCCAGAGGCTGGAGCCAGAGCAGGGCTGCTGGACTGGCAGCACAGGCACTGGGGAGGCTGGCCTGGGTTTTATCCCTCAGCTGCAAAATCGTTCTTGACTTTCAGCACAGCAGAAAGGATTTGGAGGTATGTGGCTCTTGGAGTTAGAGATGGGATAGAGTTTTGTCCTGAGTCTCTGGAGAGGGAGAGGTAGTACTGAACTTTTAGTAGGGCTGTAGTGTGCACAGCAGGTATGTTCCTGTTCTTGATGATTTGTCACTGTGCAGAGAGAAAATCCTGGTGTCACTGCTCCAGAGGGAGCAGCCTGCAGACAGATAGCTGGGGTGCTGCTGAAGAGTTGGGGATGTCCCATCACAAACAGAGGTGTGACATCTCACAAGTGGCCAAGGCTCCTGCATCCCCTGGTACACCCTGCCAGATGCATGCTAGGGGAGGACAAAGGCTTGGATGTGAAACTGAGCCTCCCTCCACAGAGCTGAGCCTGCTGGCTGTGTTTGCCCAGTGATTCTAGCATCTGCTTGTGATTAATGTCCTGCATGTCACACCCAGCTGCCAGCACTGCCAGGAGAGCAGCTGCTCCCACTGGGCACACCAGCAGCTCCCTCAGGAGCCCACAGAGGCAAAGGGGCACCTCAGTCTTTGCATCCACACCCACAGCCCTTCAGCCATGCAGGTTTTTCCCTTTCAGGCCCACCAAAAGGCAAGGCTTGGGTGGGGCATGTGTGATTTATGGCCATTGAAATGAAAGCCTTCATGCCAGCAGAGAGGATCCACTTTCTCCTCCTCCTGATCTAATGCACTTCAGTTATTTGGTAAATCTTCTAATGGTTTTATAATGCACTAAGCGAAGCAAAGTGACACTATTTTTTTGTATTGATTTTATTGCGTCTTCCCAGTTTCATAAGGCTGAGATTCAGAGGGAGCTGGAATAATTCAATAATTCATATTGCCCAAGTGGTTAGTTCATGCTGAGCAAGGATTCACTTTAAAGAGGGGGGTATTTTTCCTCCCTGCTTCTTTCCCTGTGTGGATGCTTTCCACATCCAGAGAGGCCAAAGAGGGGCTGGGCCATTCCCCAGGAAGATGCCCCAGGGCCATGAACCCAGCTCACCTTTTCAGGAGGGACATGTGGCAGCCATGGAGCTGCCTCACTCCAGGGCATGCATGGGGTCCCTCCAAGAAATGTCTCCTCTGTTTCATCAATGTAGTGTCTCTTGCAGGGGTGTTGTAGGATGCAGGGGAGTGCTGTGCCCATGGCAAGCCATCCACAAAGCTCTTGTGGTCTGGTCCTGGGCAGAAACTCAAATGTCCTGCTGGCTTTGCAGTTCTGGAGAGTGGCAGTGACAGCAGGATGGTGTTGTCTGTAATGGCACCTGTGTGTCACTTGGAGACCCTAGAAGGAGGATGGGGTTCAGGAGTGTTGATGGTGAGATCTCTGCCTTGGGAAAGCAGAGCAGCGCCTGGGAGCCATCCATGTCTGCCCTTGGCATGGGACAGGGCTAAAATACTGATATTGATTGCTCTCTGCATTCTGGAGGTAGCTTTTTTCCTGAAACCCCCTCTCCCCATGAGTCCTACACATGCACCCTGTTTTCTGTCCCAACAGTTGTGCCCATGAATGTCAGCTGCACCCGGACAGACTTCCACATCCAGATCCCTGTGCAGTCCCTGGCCCAGCTGGAGAGGAATAGGATTTATTTGGGGATCCCGTCCTGTGCAGCCCAGGTGGTTGGCAGGAACTTTAAAATACACACCAGGTTTGACACCTGTGGCACTGAATCCCAGGTAAGTGATCAGCAAACCCTCCTTTACAGCAAGCTGTGTAAATGGTTAGCCCTGTGCTGGCTGCAGGGAGGTATTCCCAGTCCCTCTCACATTTTCCCAGCAGATACTGGCCTGATTCCTGGCCAGCCCCTCCAAACCCCTGTGAAAAGGAGCTGCACCAAGCCCTGATGAGCCGTGTCCCTTGTCTTGCAGAGACGCAACAACACGTCTGTCATCGTCAGCACCCTCTACATTGATTTTTCAGTGGGAGACCAGGAGGACATCCACCAGTACGAGGTGCAGTGTGAGCCAAAGAGGAAGGAAGCCTCAGTGACCCTTATTGCTGGCCCTGATCCATCCAGGCTCAGCCAGGCAGAAAACCTGGTGGATGCCCAGAAGTGGGAGGGGGAAGCGGTCGATGCCCGTGAGATCAAGAGCCAGGACACCAGCGACATCGTCTTCATCAGCATCTGCATCCTGGCTGGGCTCCTCATGGTCATCGCAGTGGTGGGGCTGGTGCTGCTCTAGGATGCCCTTTCCAGACTCCAGGGATTGCAGTCCCACTCATGCCCAGGGCAGGAAGGCACCCCAAAATCCACCCTCACCCCAGGCTGAACCCTAACACAGCTCCCAGGCCCTGAAACTGAGCCTGAACCCAACCTCCACCTTCTCTTAGTGCCTGAAAAATCTGGGCAATAGGCAGCCGTTTCCCTTCCCAATTTGTTTTCCTCTGTTTCAATCTGTCCATTTGGCTCAGGAATGCAATTCTTGTGCTCCCTAACTCTTCCCGCACCTGCTTCAATTTGTTTTCCCTGTAGTGCTGCTGCTTTCAGGAAAGAAACGTTGTTTGCCGATGGCTGCAAATCTTCCTGTCAATTATTTCTAGCTGAATTCTTGGAGGTACAAACCATCCCCAAATGCAGCTATATTCCCAACAAATGTTCTCCCTGCTCCCAGCCCGTGCTTGGGGGGTACTGTGGAGCTGTGTTACAGGGATCTCCACCTGGCACACACAGATGTAGCTCATGCAGGTGCTCCCAGGTGATGTTTCTGGCTGTCTGTGGGTGATGTGATGAGATGCATTTGCTGTGCCCTGGAGCTCCTTGTTTGATCTTCTCATGTTGTCTCACCTTCTCGCAGGACTCACCTGAGTGCCTCAGCCACCAGCAGCTGGAGGGGAGGAGAACAATCCTCTTCTCTGTGTTTTCCTTCTTTCCGTCATATCCACGTATCCACAGCTGTGAACTCTCTACCAGCATTACTCCTGAAGTGTGAAAATTTGGGCAAATCCTGCTATGGCTTGGGAAGATGTTGGAGTGCAGAGGTTTTGGTGACCCTGTAAAGGCAACCTTGGCAGGAGGGGCTGGGACCTCAGTGACACCAGATCTCCACTCTTGGTCCCTGCAGAAGGTGAGCTCAGCACCTGAGAATGTGAAGAGTCCTGTGAACATCTGCCCCTCCAGAAAACTGGGGATCCTCACCAAGAGCCCTGATGGATGGCTGAGTGACCTTTGCCAGCCTCTTGTGCCACCCCAGCACAAAGGACATTCCCCTTCAGCATCAAAGAGGGGGTGGCTGTCACAGAGCAGCCTGTGTTCATCCCTGTGGCTCAGAGCCAGCGTGTGTCAAAGCCACGTAAAATCTTGCTATGGAAAGAGGCCACCCCTCCTCCTCCAGCCTTTGTGAAACACACTGCAGTGCAGGGAGAGATCCTAAAGTATCCCAGTGTGGTCACTCAGGGCACAGCAAACCCCTGGTGCTGTTGAATCCAGCGTTTAGCAGGGACTGTAGGAGAGTCCCATCGGTGAAAGGCTGCCCTGACTGATGTCCTGCTTCCCTCTGGGACAGCTCTGTTCATCGGGGCATCAGAGGAAGCAGCAGCAAAGGAGCAGGATGATGATGATGATGATGATGATGGAGCAGCTTTTCCTCCTGGACTGCACCAGCCCTGAGAGAGTGTCTGGGGAGGGAAGAAGGCGCAGGGCTGCGCGTGCCTCTAACGAGGAGCCTTCGTTACCAGACCCGGATTGATTTGGTGTTTGTTGGTGCAACACATCGGCAAATGCGAGATCTGCCAGGGAAATATTTGCCAGCGCTGTGAAGCTCCATTAAGGGAATGTTTTGAGAGCCTGTTGTGTGCAGAGATGGTAAACAAGGCCAGCCTCCCCCGCTGCTTGCAGAGCCTCGCTGCTGGTTAATTGCTGGGTACAGAACTGTCAGCTTGAGACCACAGTTACAAGATTTGACAACTGAAAGAAACTTAAAGATATAATTAACCTTCTTGGTGGCCCAGATTGTGCTGGAACAGGTGAGCACTGCGGCTGCTGGTGCCTGGCAGGGAGCCCACAGCACCCAGCAGCATCCAGCCCTTGCCTGCAGGACAGGCACTCCTGGCCCAGCTGGAGCCTCCAGAACACTGATTTGCAGGGGAAAAGGCTTTTCTGGACAGCTGTTGGTGTGCACTCAAATCAGGAGCTGGACCTGGTCACTCCAGGGAGGGTTTCCAGTTCACAGCCACCCAAGCATCCCTGGGTAAAGTGCTCCCCTGCACACATCCCTGTGGATGCAGGACTGGTGCTGTGGGAGCAGCTCTGCTCCTGAGTCAAGGGGATCCCAGCAGCCCCAGGGCTGCAGGGTGGTATCCAGGGCTCATGAACAGGGTGGTGAATGCAACTTGAATGGCTCCAAAAGCCCTTTACCCACTTGTTTCTGATGGCGTTCACAGCTGCATCTGCCACCAGTCGTGAGCCACTCGAGCCAGTCATCTCACTCAGAGCGAGGAAAGCCTCTGGTGCCCACCAAACACCAGCCCTCCTCAGCCTCCAGTCCTCCTCCACTGTGTCTCAGCCTCTCCACTAGATTTAGGCATCCGGTCTCTCCCTGCCCTGCAGGAATTTGCTCTCTGGCATCCCCTGTTGAACCAGGTCTTCCCTGATGTACTGCCCTGGCTGGGGATGGAGCCCAGCAGGGGTGGGGGCCTGCCCAGGTAATTTCCTAAAAAAACCCTTCTTCTCATGCAAAAGCTGCTCAGATGAGTGGCAAACAGATACCAGGAATCCATCACAGCACTCCTTCCCTGCACCATGCCTGTGGTCCTCACACACGAGGCCTCAGTTCCCCCCTCAGCGTTTGCCCGGTGCTCCCGAGCAGGCGGGGGAGCGGCGGGCACGGGCAGTGCTCCTCCCGTGGCTCAGCTGATTATTTATTTAGAGCACGATGGCTGCACTGAGCCGGGCTGGATGCAGCCTCCCCATTTCCTGGCTTTGCTTTCAGGAGTTGTGTCTCTCCAAAGCAAAGGTTTGGCTGTTGTGCAGGAGGGAGAGCCTCTGTTATCCCTCTGCAAACGTCTGCCTGCAAATCCAGTGTTGGAAAATTGTAGATCATAGAAAACAGGACTGCAAGAGCCCCCAGGGGATCAGCTGGTTCATTCCTCTCCTTCCCTGGGGAGATTGCTCCTACTGGAGAGAAGCTGTGCTAAAATATCCAAAAAATCTCAGCCATGCTCTCTGTGTTTTCTGTATTTACAAGAAGATGTGTAACACTGTGAGGGTGTGCTGCTGGGGGAATGCTTTTGTGCTGCTGCACTGGACAAGAGAATGATGGTGGAAATGCCCCAAAATGGGCACCAGAGACCCTGGGCACTGGGCAGGACTGGGCATCCCACTAGGGAGCCCAGCAAGCACAGGGTGTTGTGATCCCAGACAATTTATTCCATGTAATGTTCCCTGGAAGTTTTCTGTGGTGACAGACACGGTCCTCCATGGGTGGACCTTCTTCCACTGCTCTGCTCAGAGGGTTATTTGTGTCTTTTCAGTTTTTATACTCTAATCTCAGTCTGGGAATGGGGTGCTTGTGATTTCCAGGGAGCCAGTGCTGGAGCTGAGCCCATGGCTGAGGATGCTGGGGGTGTGCATCCTCTGCATCCTCTCCTCAAACATTTTTGGGTAATTTAGCAGGGACTAACCCTTGGGCAAGCACAAGGGCAGTTCATAGGCTGGAGTAGGGGCAGGTTTGCTGCTCCTCAGGGTGCTTTTCTTGGGGGTTGGTGTGTAAGGCCAGGAGAACACCTTTTACCATCGAGCCAGTCATGGCTCCCCAGGATGGGTCAATGGGAGGGTTTTGTGCTGGGAAGGATGGAGCTCACAGCTGGGGACCTGGCCACAGTGACACAGAGCCTGCCACGAGGGTGTCCCTGCCTTGGGGATCCAGGTCAGGATCACAGTGGCACAGTGCCTGCAACAAAGGTGTCCCTGCCCTGGAGACCCTGGCCACAGTGGCACAGATGAGGAGGCAGTAGTCAGGCAGCCCAGCCATCTGGGAAAACATAATGGATCAAGCATATGGACAATTAAAAATGCAATGACAGCATTTAGCAGGAGTTGTTTTCCAAGCTTATTTTAAGCCCAGTTTCCTGATCATCACAGCCCCAGGGACAGCGAGGCCCTGCTCGTGGGGATTTGGGGTGTGGAGGCTGAGTGCCCCATGATGGGTGGGGAGCTCACAGCTGCATTTTGGGCTCACAGTCATGCTTTGTGGAGCTTTGGGGGTACAGATTTGATCCTGCCTTCTCCCTCTGGCTGGCTCTGCATGTTGCAGCCCTCCTCTCCCTCCCCTTCCCTCTCTCTGGGACAGGATGCAGTGTTTGCAATGTGAACATTCCAGCTCAGGCAAAATATTGGTCACAGCAGAATTGATTTTGGCTTTTGTGTTTTTCTTGCCATTGGGGCTGGCTGTGCTAGAGGAGCAGTGTTTGTCCATTAAAGGAGCACCCTTTATAGCAAGATAACTGCTTGCTAGATAATAATATATAATTAGCAGGGACCATTCCATAATCCAGTTTAATTGACAGAGACCATGGATGTTGTTCAGGGGACTGCCTGCACAAGAACTGGAGCATCATTAATTGTGTAGGCTTCCCTTTTTTTTGCTTACTCTGACATGTTAGAGCTCCTTTGTGCCTCAGTTTCCCCTCCTGAGGTGCCATTTGAATGTTGCCATGCCCTGCATGGAGGAACAAGGTTTTGCTGGTTGTGGTCAACTGGGCTGGGGAATTCCCTCATGTGTTTCCCTCCCTTTTGCTCTTCTTTTCTGCTTCCCTCTGTCCCTCCACTGCTCCAGCCTCCTACTTCTGCTCCATAACATACCCTGGGAGGGAAGTTCCTGGAGCATCCTTTGGGCTCCAAGGATTTCTGTGGCTTCTGTGGCATTTCCTTGCCTTCAAGTCTTTTAATCCAGGGCCAGTTTAGCCAACCCTTCATATTACAGGGCTGCCAGGGAAGCAAATGAGATCTAAAAGTTTGGGTTCTTTGTGAAGAAACCTTTGAAGAGCCTCTTGAAAGATGAAAACTGGTGAGCTGCTGAGCTCTCTCTCTTCCAAAGGACAGGGAGGGTCTTGTCTACTCCCATCTTCTTTCACCCAGGTAATTTGCAGCAGGACAAAACTCTCCTGAGCTGTGCCTGCTGATGGGGAGCAGAGCAAGGTGTCCCCTACTGCCTTCCCAAATCTGCTCTTCAAAGCCAGGGTCAGAAGTCAGCTCTGGCAGGAGTGAATTCCCTTTTCCATGAGCCCACCCTGCATTCCTCACAAGTGGGGTGGGGGATCAGGAGGTGACACCTCCAGAAGGTGCTTCCCTCCTCTCCTTGCTGGTCTCTAGAGGTCTGCCAGCTTTATCTATGTGCTCCTTTGCTGAAAACAATCTGTGGGATAGCCTTAATCTGGAAGGAAAAGGGGAAAAAATAAGAACTTTTCTCTAGATTGTGTGCCTCCCTCATTTAACATTTCCCCAGTTAAAAGGGATTTCAGTCTCCATGCCAGAGAAACCAAGCACAAGGGAGGCACTGCTCAGCCCCTTCATCCTCCCTTTTTAATCTAGAAGGGTTTCCCCAGCAGCAAGAGTGGCCAGCATCACCCACAGGAGGGAAGGAAGAGCCAGGGAGCAGCAAACTGATTCAGCAGCTAACCCAAGGCATAAATAAACAGTGTGCATGTGAGGCTGCCCCATGGAGGGAATCTGGTTTTGATAGACTAATTAAAAACTTCATTAGTGCTAGGTATCAAGTATCCTGTTGTCACATTCAGCATCACCCTTTGGGAAAATTAAACCCTTTTTGGCCTGTTGCTTTCTCATCTCTGTTTTTCTTTTCTTTCCCCACCTTCCTTTCTGTTTTTGTCCCTAAAACCTTCCCTGGTTCCCCGAATTCCTCCTGTTATGGGTTTTAAGCCCAACTCTCCAGACTTTCCAGTTCTTCCAGTCAAAGCTGAGTCTGTGACTCCTCAGCCCAAATGTTACTGCCAGCTCTGACATCAAGATAAAAGAACTGGACCCAGAGCTTTACACTTGGGTTCCTTTGAAACAAGCTTGGCAAAAACATCAACCATTACATAGAGGAAATTTATAGGAGAGGTTTCTGCTCGTGTGCAGCAACTCTGCATCCATGCAGTTACTTTCTAAATTAAAAATATTTGGCACAGCCAGACTGTATCTGACCTGTGTGGGAAGCTTCTTTGGCCTGGCTCTCATTAGACCAGAAGTTCCTCATTTTCAGGGATTTTGCTTCTCACATTATCCAAATAGAGAAAACACAGTCTGGCACCAGGAACAGGAAGCTGAAAATAAATCCTGCAGGTCTTGGTGTTGCAGCTCTGATGCAAAAGCTGTGTCATTCATTGATCCTGAACCCTTCCTGATTGTCCAGGGTACACAAATGCAATTACAGCTGTGCAGTTTGAAGCTATTCAACAGGGAAATTGAGCTGATTGCTTGTAAGAAATTGAGGCTTTTCCCATTTTTGCTACAGCTTGGTCAACAAGTGTTACATGTTACTGAATATTACCCACACCATCAGCACACACAGATCTGCCAGTTTCTGCCTCCAACACACCTGACTTTAGCTTCCCACAAATGAAACCTCTGTGTTCAGCTGTTTGAGGACACCTTCCATGTGCACAGGCAAAACTGGTCTTGCACTGGCCCAAGCAAACAAAACAGAGTTTAAGATATTCTTAAGAGAACCTGCAGTTATCTAATTAAATTTATGGAGTTCAACACCTCAAGTAAGTTTTCTGCTAAGGGTCTACAGATGAAAAAAGTATCTAGCATCTCCAAGTAGTGACAATCAGTCATTTTTTAGGTGAAGATATGAACACCATGCCTGGAACAGCCTTGGTAACAGCTTATAGAGAACGAGACAACTTGTGGTACAAAAGAAATCAGAGCAAATATAGAGGCAAGAATTCCAATTTTCAGTAAGTAGAAAGAATTTAAACAATAGTTTGTTGCTTAAATTTGTTCATGCAATCATTCTGAACCATGTTCCTTTTAGAGAAGAAAAAGCCTTTAAAAGGAGTATTTGGTTTTATTTAGAGAATTCATGACAAGTTTTTTTTCACATTACAGTAAAAACAAGCACCATGTTTACACCATGAGTGAGGTTTGGAAGGCTGAACGAGCTGCTCCTTGAACAGCAGAGGCTTTAAACAGCACCTTTACCTTGGGGCTTTAGAAAATGCCCCAAATCACAGAATGATTGAGAGGATGAAGTTACTGAAATCCATTTTACATCCAGCTCTGGAATGCAGCAAAGGAAAATCACCTTGGCAAAACAGGCCAGGCCCAGCTGCAGCAGACGTGGCTGATTTAGGGCTAACTAGAGTTTGCAATTATCCCCCAGGAATCCCTTCCCATGCACCAATTAGCCATAATTACCAGTATTTCCAGCCAGCAGAGCACAGAGCTGCTCCTTTAAAGGGGTTATTCAGCTGAATACACCTGAAGATCCACACCAGGGATGGAGCTAAACTGAGCTACAACAAACGGGCACAAGAGAGAAACAGGTGAGTCAGCAAGGATGGAAAATACACAGAGGAGTACAAGAAACTTTCCTTGCAACATGGATTTCCAGCAAGTCAAATCTACAGCACCCATTCCACCACTGGTTTTTCTCTCCTGTTTGTGGAGCAGTGCCGGGGATCACCCAGTCAGGGCTCCCCGTTCCACGGAGATGCAGGAACAGCAAGTCCTCCCTCGGGATCAAGCACAACTCCTCACTTTTTGTGGCTCTGCACAAAGGCAGGGACAGGGAGTGTGCCATCCTTGACTGCTGCTCGGGTCTCAGGTCTGTGCTTTAATGAGAAGACAAGGGCTCGCACGGCCCGGCGATACGGAGCGCTAATGAGGCGGGAGCAGAGATGAAAAGCTTCGCGCTCAATATTTTCAGCCAGTGGGTGATCAATCTGAAAACAGCAAAGTATAAAATTAGATCTTTACATTTAATAAGGAGGCCAGCTGATTGAAATTGGAGTTTGGTGCCTTTCAGTGTTTCTTCATTAATCAGCTTAGATTCAAGGAAATCTGCTTCCCATCACAAGTGTAACAGGAAGAGCAATTTAATTCCACCCTAGCAATTAAGGGACAAGGCAGCGTGGTCAGTGGCAGGGAACACATCCCCACCTCCAGCTGGGTGGCAGTACTTTGCCATCACAACAGGAAACTAATCTGTGACAAGCTTTGGGTATCAAGCTCGCTGCAATTATAAGCTATGCTGTAGTGTCTCCATAAAGCTCACTTTTGATCTGGCTGATATAAGGTACCTTGGATACTATTTTAAACTTGATTCCAACAGCAACTCTAAGACATGCCAAACACTTGGCAACCCTGCCTGCTGCTATAAAGGGAAATGTGGGAGCTCTGTCTCTAGAAGGAGGTGTAATTAAGAACGCAGAAAGGGATTTGCTAAATGTTAATTATGTAGTTATTGCTTCAACATGTGCCAAAACCTGTAATTCAGCACAGTTTAGGAAGAAATCCCCCACCCTTCAAGACATGCTTTTAATTTCACTTCTGCCTTGTGTGATGGGGAATCTTCCATGCATTGCATGCAGGAGATTCCAGTGAGCTGAATGGTATTCCTGCAAATCCTTCACCACAAAAGTTTTGCCACCCATCACTAAAAACCCCCTTGGATCCACTCAGTCCCACCTTCCCTTCTCTCTTTTGACACCTCTCGGGTGTCAGTGCAGCAGCTGTGGCTCCCCTGCCTTTATCAGCAATTCAACTGCTGTGACCTCTGCCTGCACATGTGGTGGCTGCAGGAGTTTTCAGGTGAGTCCTGTTCAGAAGCAATTCTGCTTTACCCAATTCTCCTCGTTTTAGGGTGGTACCAGAATCTTTATGTTCCACAGATTTAGACTTCACTGCCACTATTATCACCGTGCATAGCTGTGCTTTCTAAGGACTAAGCTTCACTCACCAAAGGTCAGCTCCCACCTTTCTGAGGCATTCCTACAGCAAACCACCCTTCTGTGCTGCCCCAGACTGGAAGCTGGAGAGGTTGTTCTCACAGCTAGCAAACACACAACTTTCAAACTCTTGAATGTTTATCACTTGACTTGTCATGGAAAGGATAATTAATGAATAAATTGAAAATTATAATTATTATGGCATTTCATAGACCAAGCAAACTAGTTATTAAGCCTTACAGCAAAGCCTTGTTCATTTAGTTAAACATACCTGAGGGATCTGGTATTTATCACCACTTTATATACTGTCAACCTTGCTTCTCTGTTTTTGCTATAGATTTAAATTTACAAATATTTCATTAGGAAACACCCAAAAAGCCCACTGTTGCTTTCATAGCTGTTTGGTAGGAAAAGCTTCATCTTCTATTAATTTCCTCCTTGTACAGCCCAACTGCAGTGGCCACACAAGTAATCTGTTGACAGGTTATGGAAATGACAACGCTCACAATTAGCAGGTTCCCTTGGTTAACAACCAAAACCCATTATCTACCTTGCAAATGAAGCTACTCATAAACAGGGATGTGCTGTGAATCCCTAAAAATAGGAACAGATCACCTGGTCTTGTCCCCACTCAGCAGGCAGGACCAGCTTGGCTGGAAAAGGTTTCACTTTGAAATTTTGGAGCCACAGGCTCTGAGCTGTACCTCCAGTTCCAGGGCTTCACTGAGCAGCTTCTGAGCGTTCTTCCTGAAAGCCTCAGTCCTGGGATCACTCCTGACCTCGATGGAGGGCCTGTTGGAGTGCTCCCTGATGAAGCTCTTCCACTCCCTGAAGATGTCCTTGGCCAGGCTGGACACCTCTGGGTCGGGGTGTTTGCGCATCTTGTTCACCGTGTGACCTGGGGAAGGGAACAGCTCCTGTGGGACTGGCAGCTGGGGAAAGCACAGCTGGCAGCAGTCAAATCACAGTGCTAAAGCAGCCACACAGCTTCTCAACTCTGAGCAAAACAACCAAAGCACTGACACAAACACAAACAGAAAATGACCAGGATTTAAGCATGGAGCTTGAGAATTTATCAAGGAATTGAGAAAATCGCCTTCCCGAGTCACCCAGGTGTGGAGCCACACTTATTTAACTCAGGCTATGCTAGCTGTTTACACTGATCCTGGATCTGGTGAAGGTTTTTAAGCCTGGCCTACAAAAAGTGCTGGTATTTAGCTGGGACACCCTTTAAGGAAGCAGATGTTGCTGGTGATGCTGTAGCATTTAAACACGGGAACACCACGATGGCTCCAAGCAGGATGTTTCCCATCCAGAGGGCTGGCAGTGCAGAAGAGGCTTTACCCCGCGAGGAGACAAAAGGGACCTTCCTGCTTCCAGAGGGTGTTTTCCCTGGCCAGGAGCGCTGTCGGCCAGGAGATGTCACTGTTAGGCTTCAGTGCCTCTGCCAGCCCGGCGCTATTCAGGCAGGCATTGGGGAAAATCCCGGGGAAAGCCTGAATAAGCTGAACAGGGCAAATGGAATGACAGATCAGAGGGATGGGGAAAGGGGCGGATTGCAGCTGCTTTTCCAGGGCTCTGTGAACACAGATCCGGCTGCTCCGAGGGTAAACAAGGGCCGGGATGCTCTCCCTGTTGGGGAAAGGCAGGGACCATGTGGTCACCGTTATCCCTCCCCCGGGTCCTGTGGAGAAAAGGCAGGGATGGGGCTGTGCCATTCGCACGGAGCTGCCCATCTGCTGGGGATTCCTCAGCCTGAGCATGCAGGAAGCAGCTCTGGGCCACTCTGAGATCTTCTCACACCTTCAGCGGATTCAGGCAAATCAGATAAATGAGCACTGACAGCAGGCGAAGGAATAAACCACAGAGTTACCACGGAGAGCTCTTCAAAATTGTGACCACAAAAGGGGGGATGCAGTATTTCCTGGGAGGAATCAGAGGACAGCTGACTCCTTCTGTACAAGCTGTGCAAACTGCAGGCTTGATATCAACAATATTTCATTGGCAGCAATTTTCTCATTTCTTAAAAAGCTTCCAGACTAATCTCTAGTGCACTGACAAGCCAAGCAGACACAAGACAGCCTAATATTCACAGTTCAGATAGACCAGATGTACCTATTTTAGTGGAAAGTAACACTTCTTTGGAAGGTATCTTCTTCTTCAGCTCCTCCAAAGCTTCCATCAGGTTCTCTTTGGGTTGCCCAGGAAGCTCAAGTATAGACTTCCATCGTTTTATGTCTTCCACAACCACAACTCTCTGGGAAAGAGAAAAGCTCCTTATGAAAGTGGAATATTGTTATGATAAGTAAGGAACCTTCATCTCAGCTAATGGGGCTGTTATCAATACATGAATTATTGATCATGGCACAGAATATATGATGGGCACTTGCTTGGAATTAGAAAACTCCTGCCAGTCAAGGCTGAAGTAACCAGCAAACAAAGTGAGAGGCTTTCACCTGGGTCTGCCAAACTCTGGGCACATAACAGCAAACTCCTCCTAGAAGTGTTCTGAATTAAAGAAATCCATTGTTGCTAAATAGGAAAAGGGATTAAGAGGAAGGTGGCTGATTATCCTTAGAATCCAGCTCAGATTGACTACAGAAGTAAAACAATACCAGCAAGGTGAGAAACAGAGCATTAGGAAACGTGAACATGAATGGGAACATGAATGCAAACTTGAATATACTGCATAGCTGCAGTGTTTTCACTGTTTTTGCCACAGACCTTGACAGAGCAGACTGCAAACAGTGCAAGTCTCATATTTTGGGTGTGAAGCATCTTATCCAGCAGTGGTCAGACAACTGCAGTGCTTTATGCACCATTCTTTTGATTTTTGCCACACTCGGTGAACTTTTTGGTGCAGCAAATGTTTTGCTGTTGTGTGTCACAAGCAGGTGACCAAGAGGGGTTCAGCTCCCGTGCAGGTCTCACGCACGACATCCATGAAATGAACGGAAGGGTTTTCCTTGCTGGAAAGGGATGAGAGCCAGCTGGGAATACTGGGGCTGGCGGTGTCACCGGGCTGTCCTCGAATGTGTGCCCAGCCCGACCCTGCACCACGCCGAGTTATAACCCACGGAAGCCCTTCCAAGGCAGCAGAGCCCTCTGCAGCTGTACAACCACCTCCCTGTTCGGGTCCCACGGCAGCACTGCACAGATTGCGGTGCAGAACCGATGCCCACACACCGCCGCTCCCCCGCCGCCCCAACCGCGCCGCAGCCGGTGCCGCGGGAGGCTGGGCCGGGCCGGGCCCCCGCTCCCTCCCGCCGGGGACCTGCCTTGAGGGACTCGATGGTGACCTGCCGGCAGGCGCGGGGCCCGGGCGCGGCCCGGCGGGGGCTCTGCTGGCCGCGGGGGCAGCGCACCACGAACCGATCCATGTTCGCCCTGCCGCCTTCCCTCACGGAAGCCGCCAACGCGGCCCCGCCATTTCCGCCCGGTAGTTCCCTCCAGGGGCGAGGCCCTATGGGATGGCCGGGGGTACCCCGCGGTGCGGACTACATTTCCCAGCAGGCCTCGCGCAGAAGACGGTGCCGCTGCCTCGCCCTGTCCGCACGGTAGTTTCCGCCGGGGGCGAGGCTCTATGGAATGGGCGGGGATACCCCGCGGCGCGGACTACACCTCCCAGCAAGCTCCGCGAGGGGCACATCTCGCGAGAGGTTGCCGGCGGCCGGTGCGGAGGAGCGAAGATGGCGGTGCGGCGGCCAGGCCTCGCCGTCCTCCTCCTGCTCCTGCCGCTGTTCCTGGTGATCCAGGCGGGAGCCGCCTCGGGACAGCTCCCCGCCGCCTCCTCCGAGGCCTTCGACTCCGTGCTGGGCAACACGGCATCGTGTCACCGCGCCTGCCAGCTGACCTACCCCCTGCACACCTACCCCAAGGTACGGACGGGCCCTTCCCCGCACCTGCGCCGCTCCCCTCCGCCTCCCCCGGGCTGGCACGACCCTTCCTCTGCCCCTGTCCTCCTGCAGCTCCGTCTCTTCTCTAAAACAGATACTTCCTTATGTAAATACATGGGTAGGCTGCCGCTTGACAGCCAAGCGCTGTTGTCAAAGTCCAGCTTTGTCAGAGCTGGGGCTTTTGTGGGTTTGGGGCGTTTGGCTGCTCTTTTTTTTTTTTTCTTCCTGTTCTTAAAAAGGCAGCTGTAATTTGGCTTGGGCTGCTCCATATTTTGGGCAGTGTTGTGTTCGTGGCAAGGCAGAGATCCTGAGTCAGGGCGCCTGAAGGGTGAAGTATAAACGATGACAAACAAGTAGCTCGTCAGAGCCTTCATGGGAACTTTTTATCTCATGATAAAACACTGAAATTGTGTCTGAGAGGAATTTAGTGTCATCCCCCAGGGTTTGCTGTTGGTTCATGCTTGCATGCCTTTGAACTACGGGCTTAAATTTGGAAAATCCGAGATCACAAATCTCATATTTCCTTGTTCTTTGTTGGCAATACACTTCATTGTCAGCTGCAGCTGTGTAGCAGGTGGAACTCTTACCCCGTGTTTGGGATTTCACAGGAGGGCAGCAGGCAGGTGGAGCAGTGCCAGGATCAGGTAACAGGGCTTTGTCTGCTTCCCCATGGAATTCAGGTGGATTTTGTAGCTGGAAAGTAACAGGGAGTTGTGTGGAATATGATTAAATTTACACAGCTTGTTTTGGTGTATTGCACTTTTGAATTTTGTTACTTTACTTTTTGAATAAGAGTTTTGTCATGTGTTTTTTGAGCTGTTCACTAATACAGTCACATCTTTTACATTTAGTGTTTGTTCTGTTTGTCACAAAACTGCTGGTGGAATTGAAAGAAATTTGTTTTAGTTGTGAGTGGAAAAGAAGACAAACTTCATTGAGATTGTGATGGAAATATATCTGTACAGATAATTTATCGGAATATCAAATTACAAAACGTTTTCTGCTCCAGCACCGCCCACCTTGTCAGTGTTAGATTTGAGTTTTAGTTTATATTAATAATGTTCTACTCTTGTGCCTTTAAAGCAGATGAACTCATGGTCTCAGTTACAATGGCCAGGTCATTTACAACAGGTTGTACAAGAGGTGTGGTGTGTTTGGTTGCTGTTAAGTTAATTCAGAGCCCGTTTTGCACCTGTGCAGTTTGAGTGGTTTGAAGTTGTGATTCATGGGTCAGTGGCAGGGTGTGGCCAGTGGGACACTCCTGTCACAGAGGCTTTGTTCACATCCGTCCCCTTGGGGCTGTGGACAGAAGAAATACTGGGTGTAGGATTTCTGTATTTGCTAAATTTTAACAGTTGGCAGTGGGGAAGCACTTCTGCCCTTCAGTTCAATATAATAAATAAACATTTGTGTTTGTGGAGCTGGCAGTAGGCAGATAACCAGGATGCTGTGTAGGACATGAGAAAATAATCTCTTTCTGATAGTTCTGTTGTAGCTCTGATTAGAATCAATAATCGGTTCAGATACATTGTATTCCTGTCAAAATTAGAGGATTTTGGTCCTTTCCTGCTGGGTTTTACCATTGAAGTTCTGAGAATGGAGATTTCCTACTCTTTGTAAGGTAAACATCAATAAATCTTTTACAGCACTGTCTTAATTTCAAACACAGCATTCATTTTGCTTGTGGGTTGTGGATCTGGAGTTCCAAAACAGCATTTTGTGCTCCAGGTTCGCAGATAAATCCACGGCTTGTTAGTGCTGCTGGGCTCATTGCAGCTCATCCCATTCCACACGGAGCTGGGGGAAGGAGGACAAAAACACCCAATCAGACAACAAGAATAAGGGGTTTTTGTGACAATTTGTCGTGGCCTGGGGGTTTGCAAGCCTGTCCCTGTGCTCCCCAGGAGGAGGAGCTGTACGCCTGCCAGCGCGGCTGCCGACTCTTCTCCATCTGCCAGTTCGTGGACGACGGCGCCGACCTGAACCGCACCAAGCAGGAGTGTGACTCTGGTGAGCCCTGCAGCACCCCCAGCTCAGCACACACTCAGGGCACAGCTGCACTGTCTGAAAGGCTGCTCTGGAGTTGGTGCCATTCTTTCAGTTGTTTTGGGTTTGTTTAACAGCTTCTTAAAGTCTATGTACAGGATATACAAAAAAAATCCTAACAATGGGAACATTGTTGTCTGTGAGTTTCTCCTTAGTGTTGCTGTTTTCCTGAATTTCTCAAGTGTCATCAGTGTCTGTAAATAAATTAGAAATAGTGCATTTTACTGTAAACAGTTTGTCATAGAAAACACAAAATGCCTGGAGGGAAATCCAGGCAAATAACACTTGTCTTTTAATAATTCCCTGTGACAATCAGTCCCATTTGCCATTCCTGACAAAATTTGTGTATGGAAGTGAATTGTTCAGTGGAGCAAGAGCTCCACAGTTCTCTCTGTGCCTTGTAACTTGTGGTCTGGCCTACATCCTGAGCTTTTCCTGCAGCTACCCCTTGGGAATGAGGTGCATGTTTTGCTTGGAATAGGCTCAGGCTATCTGTGTTAGAGCAAAGATGTAACAGGGAAGATGAAATATAGAATCATTTCAGTTTGAGATAAGATCATCAAGTCCATCCCTTTCCCCAGCACTGCCAAGCCCACCATGTCCCCAAGTGCCACCCCTCTATGTCCCTCCAGGGATAGTGTGTGATACAAGCCAATTAATAGTGGGTTTGGAATTGTGCAGAACTTTGTTCCAGTAATATTGAGGAAGCTGATTCACAGCTTTATTCAGAAAGGAAAGGTAGGAACACTCCACATTTACTACCAATACAATTAAGCACCAGGCCAGCACTCAAGGGAGGCTTTTGTCCTCTCAGTGGCTCCTGAAAGCAAGAGAGCTTGTGGCCAGCTCAGGTAGGGAAGCAGAAAGGCTGGCATGCAGAGATGCTAATGTGTTACAAAAGTGCAGCAAATACTCCAGCAATGGGCTAATGCTGCAGTCTGTCACACTGTGTAGCTGTGACACAGCCTGTCAGTGTAGTTGTCACACCACACACACAGAGTGCCATAAAGAGGGTAATGTGGCAATAGAGCACATGTAGGGTAATGGAACAGTTGCTTATTTCTGGTTTAACTCTTCTTTCTTGCTGTTGTCTTTGCTGGCTTATGTTCTGTAATCTGCTGGTGGGTGCCCTGAGTGTTCTGTGCTTGGCAGATCCGTCTTGGCTGCTCTGCTCAGCTCTGGCTCTGGTGCTGCCTGCAGACACTGACTCGGTGGCATTTGTAGCCTGGCATGGCTGCTCAGGTGCCATGAGCTGAGCACTCAAATGTTCACCTGCTGCTGCCATGCTTCTGCCAGCTTCTTAGTCCTTGTGATCATCCATTTGTTCCTCTGGAAAACTGGGAGAGCTCCTGTCCTCTGTGTTGCTTTTTGGTTGGATTCTTAAGTTCAGGTGCTACTGAAACACTGCCCACCTAAGCTTCAGAATAGTGCAGGAGAGCTCTGCCTGTGTATCATCTGCCTGATATGTCCATGGGCAGAATAAACTAAATTATTCTCTCCAAATAATTTAGATTTCTTGGTCTTTATGATCTTTAGTAAGCAATTAATAGAAGCTCTCTCTAAAACAAAGAGTTAGCTTCATTTTTCATAAGAAATTATTCCACAATACTTTCAGTGCAGTTTCTGTATTAGCAGGAAATGCTCCTTTGATTTTCCTGTGATACCATGGCTTCTGCTGTTCCCTCAAAGGGATTTAATGGACTGATGGTCCCTCTGTTCTCTTTAGGATTCCATCTCTGTTCTCTGATGTTTTATGTGATATGTAGAAGAAAGCTGTAGTGGTGGTGGGAGGATCAAGGAGAGCTTGCATCCCTGAGCTCAGCCAGGGTAACACTGGTGATCATTTGCTCTGATTGCAGCCAGATTTCAGCTCCCTGCTCTGTTGAAGCTCTGATTCTGTCATTAGACCTCAGAGCAAATGCTACCCTGGGATTGCCATATCTTCCCCTGCAAATAGGATTGTCAACTGCTGCTTTGTTTCTGATCCAACTTATACTGAGAATGTTTTCTTAACTAAAATGCAGAATTTATCATCTCATTTGGGGAACTTCTCCCTTGCAGCCTGTACTGAAGCATACTCCCAATCTGATGAACAATATGCTTGCCATCTTGGATGCCAGAACCAGTTGCCATTTGCTGAGTTAAGGCAAGAGCAAGTAAGTAGGTGACATGTTTTTCAAATACCACCTACTTGTTTCTGTTCAGTGTGTGTCTTCTCTTTTTAAAATTTCTTCAAATGGAAAATAAATCTTCCTAAGGACTGAAATCTAGACATGAGGTGAGGGGTGAGCAAGAATGTAACTTCTGTCTTTTTCATATAAAAACAAATGGAAGAAATGTCAATGTTGTGCTTGCAGTTAATGTCCCTGATGCCACGAATTCATCTCCTCTTTCCTCTGACACTGGTGAGATCATTCTGGAGTGACATGATGGACTCAGCTCAGAGCTTCATAACATCCTC